TAATTTTCTGTAACTAGGTGGAACAATAGCCAGCTTATAATTTTGAGTAGTTATAATTTTTCTTTCTGGATTATTTGGCATTGAATTTTCCTCTGGATCAATAAAGTATCTACAGTTGTGACCAAAAATATTGGCACTCCTGCATTTCTGTCAGATAACGCACCATTTCTCCCAGAAAACTGATGCAATCATTTTTTTCCATGTATTCTCATGTTTATTTCTTTTGTTTGCATTGGAATGGCACAAAAAAGCAGAGAAAAAAATCCAAATTCATTCTACACAGAACTCCAAAAATGGACTGGACAGAATCATAGCCACCATCAGGTTAATATTTTGTAGCACACCCTTTGGACCAAATAACTGAAATCCCTTCCTGTAACCATCAGTGAGTTTCTTCCACCTCTCTATTGGAGTTTTACTGAAACCATTTCTGGTGCTTTTTGAAGTCTGCTTTGGGTCATTGTCCTGCTGTAAGACTCATGAACTCTGACGGAGACCCAACTTTCTGACACTGGCTCTACATTGCACTCCAGAATTCATTGGTGGTCTTCAGATTTCATAATGCCATACACACAGTCAAGACATCCAGTGCCTGAAGCAGCAAAGCCACCCCACAACATCAGTGAACCTCCACCATGTTTGACTGTATGGACCGTGTTCTTTTCTTTGAAGGCCTCATTTTATTTTCTGAAAACAGTAGAATGATGTGCTCGACCAAAAAGCTCTATTTTAGTCTTATATGTCCACAGGACATTCTCTCAGAAGGCTTGTGGCTTCCTCAAGTCAGTTTTGGCAAACCTCAGTCTGGCTTTTTTATGTTTCTGTCTCAGCAGTGGTCTCCTACCATAGTGTCCCTTGTCATTCAGATGGTGAAGGATAGTGCACGTTTGCAACCTGTGCCTGTAGGTCAGCTTGAATTAGTTTGGAAGTTGATCGAGGTTCTTTATCCACCATTGGAACAATCCTTTTTTGCAATCTGTCATCTATTTTTCTCTTTCATCCAGCTATAGAGCCATAGGCTGTAAACTTTACAGCGTTGCACAGGAACAGCCAGACCTCTGGAGACTTGTAGCCTTGAGACTGTTCAGGCTTTTCCACTATTGTGGTCTCAAATCCTCAGACAATTCTCTGCTCTTCTTTCTTTTCTCCGTGCTCAGTGTGGTCCACAAGACACAAAGGTTGAGTCACCTTTTTTCTCCATTTAACTGGTTAAAAGTGTGATTTCTATATTGTCAGCACCTGTTGATTGCTACAGCTGAGTTTCATTATAAATTAAAGGAGCATCACAGGCTTGAAATACAACTGTTTCTGATGATTCTGAAAAGGTGTCAATTTTGTCCAGTCCATTTCTGGAATTGTGTGTGGAATGTGCCGTTTCTATTCTTCTAATGTAAACAAAAGACATAAACGTGAGAATACCAAATAATTTATGATTGCAAAAATTTTCACTCAAAAGGTAGCATGTAGTATTAAAATAATGCAACCGTTTCTAGGGAGATTTAATTTGGCCATCAAGACCTACTGTAGAAACCATAGAAAACAAGTTGCAAGGTAGATGCTCATTATTATAGAGCGGCAGGAAAAGTCAATAACTGCTTCTGTTCACCTCTTTTCTCTTTGAGTTCTACTACCCGGTACACTTCTTTTGAAGAAGAAGAATGAATTATATGGCCAAGTATGTTACACACACAAGGAATTTGTTTCCGACACAGAACCGATGGCAGCCATCTGCGGCGCCACCTCAACCGATGGCTCTAATCATTTGGGGCACCGGGGGGGGGGTGACACCTGTGAGAATGGCATGCTGTGGGAGACTGTAATTCCACTAAAAAAAGGCACTTTTGTGTGTCACTGCTGCAAATAATAAAGTTAAAAGTTGGCAAAATTCCATTTAGTTCCAAGGCTGTGTCCCACAAAACTCACCCATTCACTTCTTCTATCGCCACTGCGGAGTTCCCCCCAAGAACTGCACACCTTTTTTTTTGTTTGTATCCGCACTGCCAGTAGGAACACTAAAGTGACATAATACTAAGCTGGCCAACTGTTAGTGACCAGCCAACAAGTTAACAAATACCAGCATTTTCTTCATATGTTGCTAATGTTAATTGTATAGTGAGCAGAGGTTTCTGTTAACGGACTGCAGCTCCCCATGCTACTGGTGATGGCTATTGATTAAAGGGCTAGCACGCTTTTCAAAAAAATGACAGTGTGCTGCAGTCAACGTACACATACGTAAGTCATGGTTCCTACGAGTGACTATGGTTTAGTGGGTAGAGTGGTCATCTCCCAACCAGAGGGTTGGAGGTTCGAATCACGGTGCCTACAGTCCACATGTCGAAGGCAAGACACTAAAACCCCCAAGTTGGCCCCGATGGTTAGAGCCATCTGTTCCTGCTGTGCTGCTGTTGGTACTTTGTCTAACCGTTTTATGAACTGACAAACACCATACTAAAGTGGTCACAAGGCTGATAGTGTTAAATAATTTACTGTACTCATTCACATTGCATCAGTATTTTTTAATCTTGTAAACACTGTATATAACAATATCATTGAATAAATACAGTCTACAATCAATAGGCAACTATCAGGGCTTTCAAGATGTAGCAGTGGAGCATGAAATATGAAACAGAAGCCTTGGAGACGCAGCTCGATTAAGCTTTGCAAACTGAATAAATTGTTTTTAGTTTCAACATTCAAGGGTGAAATTGCTAGTCCTAGCCAAAGTAAACATGTTCTCAACAACTCTGCTGATTAGTGAAAAAGATCATTTAACTCTTAATATAATGGTGCCTGATCTTTTGGAAAAAGCCAAAGCTTGTGTAATCAAAAACACAGCCTTTTGTCTCTAACACACATACCAAAGAAGCTGCCGAACAGGCCACATCAGAATGAATGAATATTTAATTGAGGCCTATTGAGGCAGAAGATCAGAATGACCTTGTTTTAAATGATTATTTGCTCATAAGCAGGGAAAGGGGAGAATGGAGGGTGCACACTCGAAAGACTCGGTTTATCCAGAAAGTAGGAATAGATGACACTGATATGTGAGAGCAAAACCATAGCATTGTTGATGAATGTGTTTAACTTTGAGACTTACTTTGATCTAGGTCCAGCCACTTACTGTGAACATTAATTTCTTATTTCAACAGAAATACAAAATGCATGATATTCATTTCAGAAGCACAGAAGCAGAGGCTTGACAGATTTGACAAAAGGAAACCACTGTTACAAATCAGTGATGATTATATGTACATAATACAATTTAGACTCGTGCATGAGATCTAAATGCACCAATGAGAGAACCGTGACCCTTTCTTATTGGAAGTTGTCTGGACAAAAAGCAGGTCAATTTGGCTTGTGAGGGAGCAAGACCCTCCTCGCATCTTTCTAGACACTCACCAGAGAATAAAAAGGCTGAATTGATGTGGGCTGAACATGAACGGCTTTAAACTCAGTACCAAATGGCATGCCAGACTGAAAGGAACAGGCTTCGATAGTGGAAAAAATCTGTTGCTGTGGGCTCACGTTCTGAAGCGTATTTGCATTATTTTGCACATAATGTAGCTGTGTCTGGACTTAAATCTTTGCTCCGGGATTTGTGAGAAATGTATGTACAACACAAAAATGGCACTTGGGGGCCTTATTTCTGCACATCTAGCTGTATATGATAAAGCTGAATGTACTGGAAGACACATCCACTATCTCACTAATGCTGTCTGGTAGCTGGTTTGTGTGGTTATACTGTTTTATCTATATGCTCAAATGTACAGTTTTTGTACATTTAACAAATCTGCTGTGTGTCAGACCTTAGTCTTCGCTACACTGTACAAGATGTGGAGGCTCTATGGGTGCAAAAAAGAGGGACTATGGAGACACTTTGAAAGTCTAACAGATTCTCACAGATGTTCTATTTAGACTTCCTTCCTATAAAAATTGTACTTTTTACTTTAATCTGAATAAGGAAATGTGCGTGCGGTCAAGCTGTCTCTCTGTGCATTGGTTTCAAATTGAACAAGTGGGAATAATTTGAATGTTACTTCACATTTTATTAGTGTAATTAAGAACAGTGTCTTGACTCAACAGAGTCTTGATTTGTGATACCTTCAAAACTAATAAAGACACAAAACCTTGAGATTTTCATTTTATTGAAACCTACATAAAACTGGTAAAGAGTTCACACCTACCCATATATTTTATAAACCCAATCCAAAGTCAGATATGTCATCTTATAAAGAAGTGTCAATTTCTACTATGTTGTACTGTAAAGACATTAATAATGAATATGTTTACAATGCAGGCATATGGGTGGAGCCAAGAGGGTGGCCAGGGGTGGCACCGACCACTCCCAGAAATTGATTGGCCACCCCTGCCAGACTCAAAATATGGTGCTTGTCAGTGTTAATGAATGAATAATGAAAAACAAACAATGACAAATTGTTGCCTTAAATACAGCTACTATTTTTGTGGTGTTTTCAATTGCATGAATGCAGCATGATATTTGCATTCATTTCTCCAAATGTGATGTTGTGGAGTGCTTGGCATGATTTGCCTCGGACGGGGTGGGGGCGCACTGTGCAGCAGCGATGTCCCCGGTCGGGAATAAATAAGGAGTGCAACCAAAGTTAGGTAAAGAAAAATAAACAATTATAATAATGAATGTTTTATTATTATTTCATATAACTAGGGATTTAATTTAATTGATTTAATTCTCTCTGCATTATATTGTGTTCTTGTTGTATTTTTATTTGCTCCCTTCACTTGCTGCTTTAAAGTGCCTTAGATTTGTGATTTTACTGCCTATTTAGATTTGTGTTATTGCTCATCTACTTTATATTTCACTTGTATTTTGTGGCATTCATGTGGACGGCAAAGTAAGAATTTCATTGTACAGGGAAACATGTTTCCTAACTGTGCATATGACAAACACTTTGACCTTGACCTTGACCTTAATTTACTTTTTACATGTACAGTATTTCAAATGGAACACCCCCCTTTGAGTCTGTGCCCCAGCCTGGCCACCCCATCCAAAATTTTCTAGATCCGCCCCTGTTCAGGCATAAAAAGTGACAAATACTGCTCTTTGGATGCCTTTAAATCATCTGAAATATGGACTCTGTGGAACATACAGGATTTATATGCTATATTTAACATGTGATGGCAAACCTTAAATCAACCCTAACACCATTTACTGTACAGTAAATCATTTTCATCAGTTTCACCACTACCAGTCTTTACTATATTAAAGAAAAGTGCCACTAATCTCTCAATTGTTTTTAATATCACAATTTGACACTGCAAAAGTGTTTGAGAAAAATTAAGTTTAAAGTTTCTGCACTGAATACAAATACGTAGATTTCACTGGATGACAGCAAGACTACCATCGAACAATCTTTATTTTCCATCCTCCTATATTCTTGAAACAATCGCTATTGATATCGATACCAAGAGACTATTCAATTAATGTTAACATAGATGATCTCCACAAGACTACTGCTTTAAAGTAAAAAGTCAGCGTGAACATTACGGACAACATCATACATCCTCCCGTGATGAAGTGACTACACACATTTTAAAAAAGAATGAATCATCTCTGGCGCGGAATGAGAAAAGTTATTTTCAAAAATGTTATTGTGTTCGTACACATTAGCACAATATAACTCTACTTCCACCATGAGCTATCTGTCACACACAAGTATCTGTTGACATGCTCCTTAACATGGATATTATGTTAGGGAGCCTTTTAGCTAACTCCAAATTATTCCGCCACTGTCCTTTTTTCGCGGTAGGTCAGGGCTGTCTGAAGCCATTACTGGTAATGAATGTGGAGTCCTACTTTAAAAGGTTCAGGCATGTAAAGTCACCTAAAGCTGACTAATGGAATCCTGCTGACACCGAATGCCAGGGGCTTTTACCACATCCCAGAACGGCAGTTTTGGAAATTTACACTACAGACATAATGAACTATAAATGTAAACTTGGGAATGTAGCCTCCCACGTAGTAGCTCTGAGTTATTAATAGATACAGAACGTTCCCTGTGCTCCAAAATGATAAATTGCAGAAGACTCCATTTGTGTGGTTTCGTTAACAATTCAGCTACTTGTGGCTCATTTGCACAATAACACAGAGGAATTTAAACTTGTATCTTTGTGCTTCTGTAGCATGAGCACAATTATTAAAGAAACAGTTGTGAAAATATGTGCAGAGCAATTGTTGGAGGGACTACATATTCTGAGTTTGTTAGTGCCGCAACACTTTGTGCCCTGGGAGATGGGGCTCTTCAGCAGGTTCACAGGTCGCACAGCAGCGTGCAGAGTGGCCATTGTGCTTTGTCATTTCACAGGTGACTCACATCACTACACTCGAGCATGCTGGAGGTAGAGCACTCGGAGATACTTGCAGCATTCAAAATGCATGATTTTCTGCCTAGTGCAAACAAATCGCTTTAAAAGATCAGTTTAATCTATTTCGAGCTGTTATTATGAGCTGGGAGAGTTGTTCAGATAAAGAGACTGAAGCAGGGTTAACATCAGTGCTGGACAACTCTTCACATACTGTACCCAGCATACAGCGTCAACTTTATTATTTGTTTTTACAACGCAATATGCATATGATTTACAATGCAGATCACTAAAATAGTGCCCAGAGGATGAGAAAGTGTCTGAAATTTTGCAGCATTATAATGTAGTGTTTTTAAAAAAAATACCTTGGGGGAAATATCAGTCATAAAAGTCATCAATGTCATTGAAAGGTTGAGGACGTAAGGCTGCTTCAATCTCTGAGTTGCTGTCATCTGTTTCATCCCAGGAAACTATAGATAAAAGCAGAGAAAATAATAATAATAATAATAATAATAATAATAATAATAACAACAACACATTACTAGAACAAAATTTACCCCTCCGTGCTTCACATGCAGGGTAACCTTTTACATTGTTCACATAATTTCTTTATCATGTGACTTCTAAACTCTTTATAACCTTACCAAGATTGGAATGCACTGAAGCTCAACCTTACCTTAAATCTGATAACACAGAATATTGACCGTCTACCTTTTATAGTCTAATGTGTTAAATCTCAGAGCAGTAAAAATGCATCTTGGGTAAAAATCAAACTACAGGTGTGACTGAGGTGCTCAGACCACACTCAGAGGTCTGAACTGTTTATTTCTTGTTTTAATGAGCAGTTTAGATCTAAGAGAAATGGAATTGATGTATAACGTACGTTCACTTGCATACTGAGTATTAAAGCAAAATTGCTACTAATAAGAATACCTGCAAACTCTGGTAGACTGCTGTCTTTTTCAGATGGATATAGACATATTTGGATACAAAAAAATATAAATAAAATATATACCTGACTGTTTATCATTAGAATCAACAATGCTCTTTCAGGGTATTGTTTTGAGCAGTAACAAATTGCCCAACATTTTCCAGGGCTGGTGTTAAAGGTGTGATTAGTAATGTAAAGCCCTTTTCAGACATGCACTGACACCCTGAAATTATCTAGACATGACCCAGAGGAGCTGTATGTGAGAATACAAATGTCCAAATTAGTTGGCCTGGACATTAAGGAAACTTTACCCTGCCAGCTCCCCAGTACAAAGTCCGCAAATGCCCGAGTTAGTATGTGAGAATACAGGAGTTTATAGTCCAGAGTATTCACACAGCGCTAGTGGGAGCTAGAGGGAGACGTTCTACCATGTGACCAGTGCAAAACCTGAAGAATACAAACATCTGATAGTGAAGAAAAATGGTCATTTACAATGAAGATGCCTGCAAGATATCTAACTGGAGACAGGGCATGATTCAGGCATTTCTGTCCTTAAGAGCTGGACAGGAGAGCTCTCCTTAAGAGCTGGTGCCAGAATTGTCAGACCAATTTATGGAATCACAAGAGTTTATAACCAAATTACAAACCAACCAGATGACTATGATGTATCCTGTCTCCTGTGCGCTCTACCCAGCCACCACCCCCCTTTGCATAAACCAAACAGAATTATTTCTAGTAGGTGACACATACTAGCTATTGTTGTGTGCTACATGTGTGAAAGGGCAACTCCGGACAAATTCCGGACGTGATTCCGCGGACACAGTCCAGGGTTTATAGTCCCATACACACTGCCTTTTCGAGGCGGGATCGGTGCGCCTTTATTCCATCTCGTTTTCTGTGTGTAAGGCGCAAAGCTGGGATGGCAAGCCATTTTCGTTCCACCTATGGTCCGCCATGGGAGGCAGTACCAGAGGTGAACCAAAGGGGAGACGCGCTCTGTGTAGAAAGGGTGAGCAGCAGTAGTGCGGGATCTCAGTGTAAAAACAACTAATGTGTGAAACCCACATAAAGCACAGATTGTTCTCCAAACTGATTTAGTTATTTATTAAGCAGTTATTTAGTTAATTATTAGAGGATTAGGTTTTACTTGCCAACAACATAAATCTAAGCTTTTAGTGCCCTGGATTTGGTCCCAAGGTAATTTTTCATTTACACCTCTTCAAAAAACATCACTGCATTGATAGACAAATTTAATTAAAACAGTTGGTTGGGTAGCTTTATAATAATTTCATACATGCTAACAGATGAACCTATTTAGGGTGACCTTTTCAGTGTAATTAACCTTTTTTGACACTGTGTGTTACCTTGCAAGTGGAAAGACTTTGTCTATACTCACACCTTTTGACTGCAGAGCAGAATGAGTCTTTGAGTTGGTCTTCTCTTTCCTGTAAACACAATGACAGTTATTAGCCTTGTAAAGTTATTACCTCAGGCTTACTTTTGAAAAAGAGTCACCACTTCACACCAAAAATAGCAAAAACACACCCAAATCACCAATCACACCAATTCCGTTTTATTCTGTTTAAATGGTGACACATAAACACACGGGTGAAAGTGCATAGACATTTCTGCTAAGCCTCCTACAGGGTGCAACAGTCCTTCCGTTTCATTATTGAGCCTTTTTATCTTTTCACTAAAAATGAGTGTGAACTTATTTCCAACTGGTACACCAATAAGCATCCTCGCAAAATAGCTAAAAAGGAAAAAAAGTAGGTCATCATTTGATACAGAACACCACGTGTGTAATAAATTAATTTAGAGAGCATTCACAGTTTATGGACTGTACAAACAAAAACAAATGCACAAAGAACAAATTAAACTGAGAATCTTACAGAATAAAACTCAGTCTTCTATACAGAAATACGGTGAGTCTATGACAAAAAAGACCTGTGACAAAGACAACGTGAAGAGACCAATTTTACTCCAGAAGGGCAGATTTGCAGGCTTAAGGTCAGACAGTGCAGCAGAGGGCACTTTCTTGACTCCTGTTCTAATTGTGCTAAGACCCTCTTTATTCAAAAGCAGTCCACAGACAGGGTTGCCAGGTTCCCATAGCTCTGGTGATATCGCTATGTAAATGTGTGACCTCCAAAAAGGCTTTGATCTACCTCAATGCATATGCAATAAGCCCCTTGTTCCACTTTTAAAGCCCTCCTCTTTAATTTACATCATCACAGAGCCTATTCAAAACCCCACAATGTATCCACATCATCTGCCAGGTTAGCATACATATCCATATGGCTTATTTGTTTGGACCGTCCATATCAGAGCTGTGACACTTTTCTCCGAAACAAAAAAGATGCAGAGTTTTAAGCAGATGAGCTCCAGCAAAAAGAAAAAAAAAACAGTCATGCAGTATGGTTTTCCATCTGCATCAATTCAAACCCATGGCCTCTTCGATTGTCATCCTCTCAATCGCCCTCATCTCCTCATCTCTCCCTCAGCTAAGTCTTGGCGCATGTGACTGTACATTGAGTATAAGAACCAAATTACTCTGGCTGCATTCCAGCTGCTATCTTCTAAACTATACATTGCTGCTTTGCACCACTCAAGGCAGAAGGAAAGAAAAAAGGCTGCTCCACCCATTTTTAACCGCCAGCAGATTGCTTTGTGCTATAAGCAATACACTACAGAGCCAGTATAATCACTAGAATATAACCTTTGTATTGAAATGCTGATATGACTTCCTGTCTGCTCAGGCAGCACACCGAACCCCTGGCACTTAAAATGCAAGCAAATCAAAGCAGAGGCTAGGTAAGAAAAGCAATGGGGACAAAAGAAAAGAAAGCTAAGATAATCAGCCTATCTGCTTGTAAACTGAAGGTGCACTGCATATGAGGGTTTTGCATTTTGTTGCAAGAGAGGATTCTGTTTGCCAAAAATGCGTATTTTAGTAAATGTATAATCAGCTCTTGTGATAAATGGAGGGTAGTGCAGATGGTATATACTTTTCTGTGTAGCCAATTTTCAGTGCAAAATTATGGTAGGTGCAGTTTTTGGTTTGTAATGTCTCTCCAGGCTATGTTATGTTTAAGAACAGTAAATGTGAGCTTTTTATAGTTGGGTACCAACCATACTACACTAACAGATCACAGGTTTATTTATATTAAAGGAAATATTACTAGTTTTTGTCATTGTACCACTAATAATGGGTGTAACATGCTTAAGTATACACTTAATATGTAAACACATTTTTTATATGGTGTATAAAATTAAACATCTTAGGTATGTCAAGAAGTGGCAGTAAAACACTTTCTCTGTCAAAGCAGTAGTACAAAAGTCATGAGATGCTGAGAGACTTTAGGACAGGCCAACAGTGTTAACTATGCTGAGGAATAGATACATACACACTGCAAAAAGGAAACTCACCTATCCACGTTCTCCTTTTTAAACTGAAAGAGACATACAGCTCTTAATGCACTAAAACCGAAGCACAACTAAACCACTGTGACTAAGGCATGCATTTAGAACTGTTAGGCAACAGATCTCAGACTCTGTAGCAGCAAAAATACACCAATAATCTATACGATTACTTCCTCTCCTTTGCCACAATAATAGCTGCTATGGAGAGTAAATTGGGCTTTTCTTTTCTTGAACTTCCCCCCTGGATGGGAATGGTCTATCAGCTGTTCCACTTCAGTGGCAGACAGGACTGATTTCAAGACAGGGCTATTACCATAGAGAGCCCAGTCTGGATGTGACCCCACCAATCTAATATTCCGTTTCCATAAACATTTATGCCAGTTCATCTTCTGCTGAGTTTCCCTTAATTGAGGCATTGATCTGAATATGTAAGACTGAGCTGGCTGATGTTTCACAAGCATTGGTAGACAGAGGTGAATGCAATGTGTAAAATGATGCAAATTACAGCTATTGTAATGTCCTCTTTTTCCAGTGCCTCATCGTTCTCTCTCTCTGGCCTTTCCAATTATTTCATATTGTTGTTTAGTTCAGTTTTTGTATCCACTATATGCAGAGTCTACAATGACCTTTAAAATTATATGATGAGTTTGATACACAATACACATTTGAGGGCTGGAAGAGATTATTGATAATTCTAGCAAAGCTCCTAAAGTTAAATATTTTCAAAGCATTTTTAAATCAAGCTTGTTGTGACATGTTTTCAATCAGTGTAAAAATACAAGATGTGCTGCTACTTATGCAACGGCATACAATTGCAAAAACAAATGAAAGTGATTGAATCTTGGACAGTCATGTGACTACATATCCGTGGCACACTGTTCACACAACAGCGCGGAATTGTTATCAGTGGTCAGGAATAGTGAAAATCTAACAGTGGTTGTTCAACTGAAGCAAGTTAAAAGTCCCCCTGACACTATTTTCTAGGGAATGTAGCACTCTTCTTCTTTGTGGCACTGCTTGGTTTGCCTTGATTCTGTCTGATGAAAGCTTTTGCTACATCTTTAGGTATCACTGCTATATTGCTACAAATACTACCATGAACATTTCTGACAAATACAATAAAGACCAATTGAAATCACTGTGTTAAATTGTGTCAAAAAAGCACTGTTCGGCTGGCATGCTGTACAAAATGTTTTCATATACTACACTTAAAGTAGCACAGAAATTTAAAAATGCCAAAAGGCTGCAATTACACATCTGAACTGTTGAAGTGAACACGCTTCTGATCTTATTTTATTCTATATTCGCTTTATAAGAATGTGTCCAAAGTTGTAGTTATTAACATAAACATCCAGCAAAAAAATCTTCACACAGACCATACTGTCCTTGTAAAGCACCGTGTAAGACTGGGATATATTTCTGGGAGTCACACTGCATGCATTTCACTTATAATCCCATAGTCACATTAGGGAATGTGCAGACTGTCAAAGGAAATAATGCTTACGAAGCATTTAATACTGGCTTGCACATACCAATAGCTAGAAAACTGCTTTTATTTACCCCAGCTTTTTTAAGCTCCTGCCACCCACACACAAATGCTAATAGCACAATAGCACTTTTGCACAGCAGTGCTTGTCTAAAGGTAAAGGGAGACCCATCACCTCATCATTCCCATCAACTCCTACTCCCATCCCAGCTATGACCCCACAGAAACATTGTTTAGGCTCTGTTTAGATGTCCTCTAACAGGCCTGAATGGTAGCAGGATATAGCCCTCAGTAGGGGCAAACAGTGAGAGGCAACTGTGAGTGCACAGTAAGTGGGCACTCTCTAACATGTGAGTGCTCTCTGCTGGCAATGAGCGAGTACTGCAGCGCAGGGGACGAGGCACTGGGCCAGTGATTTCAACACAACACGATCTCCACCTGACTGGCGATGGTCTAGTTTAGACAGCCCATGAAAAGGATGGCTGCAAGCCAAGCTAATTTATGTCATGTTACTTTTGTGTTTTATAAATAAGAATCTATGTGAAGGAAGGAACATTTGCTGGTGTGACTAACACAGATAAAAGTAAACAATGTGGAGAAAATAATCTGGCAATATAAAACAATTCAACAAAACATAATCAAATCAACTGAGATTTTAAAACCAAACATGGCATTTGTCTTTGTCTTACTTGTTTCTATTAGCCTACAAAGAGCTGACAGATATAACAGCACATGTATTTGAGGAATGTGGTGGTTGCATATTTTATCTGTGTAGACTCTATACTGATTTTTAAATAAATCAAAAATTTATGTTGAAATGAGCAAAAATAAAAGCATAGAAAGTGTCTGAAAGTCAACTCAAATTTTAAAGGGCAACCCAGTGTACGACAGTGACCTCCTCTGGTTGGAGCCTTCCTCTACAGGCACCTGTCTCATTTGTGCTGCTTTGGCCTGGTTTTAATCTCATTCTCTAATCTGAACTGAAGCAGGAGATCAACTAATTTACCATCAAATAAAAAAAGGTAAACAAAATCTCAGTCAGTGCCATGACTATTGGCTGTTTTGAGACAAGTGGTTCTCCAATAGGTATAAATTCAGTGCTGCCACATGCCTGGTTGTTCAGCTGCTGCTTTAAGTCCCCCATTGCTAAGTATTATAGTGTCTGTTTAATTGTTTACATGCGTTTTCTCTGACGCACTGTTAGATTTCACTACAGGAATAGTCCATCTTTTACTACCTCTCTGTCTGTTTCCATCTTTCTGTCTCCTGCTCTTGAATACTTGCCCTCCCCTCCACTCCTTTCTCTCGGCTCCAGTCCCTCTCATCCCACCATCCCTCCTCCCAGAGAGCTGTCAGAGATCTACACACATTACCCCACCATGACAGAGAGAGAGAGAGAGAGAGAGAGAGAGAGCTTCTGATTTTGACACTGAGTGATTTGAGGTCGAATGCCTGAGCACATCCTGTTGTCCAAGGCAAAGCTGTAAACCACTAATTGTTGAGTCAAGGTTTTTGTCAAGCAGGCACTAGGCACAACAATCATCACACCCGCTGATCGCTGGAGGATTTTGTTGTCTGTGTGCTGTGTGTGTTTGTGAACAAGTGTTCAAGAATTTTATTCGATAAAAAAAAAGATGGACTACAGAGGTTCTTTAAAAACCTAAAATAAAAATAAGAGAGGAGTGGCATCTCAAATGCCTACAGTAGAAAGGAGCACAATGATGCTTTGCACGAGAGGAAGCAGTGGCATGCACTCGGATACAAAGGGGAGCAAGTGGTCTTTACATGAAGTGCAGCTGCTTATTAAGACTCACTCCTTCGTGCATTATTCCTTTCATCCCCACTCAACCACAAAGTGATTTTACTTTGGCACTCACAAAGACAGCAAAAGATTTCTAATGGAGAAATCCCTAATAAATGTTGCAGATCAGTCGCTTCCCCATGAGTTATAATACAATAAACAGCACACTCTACAAAAGTATCTGACAGAAAGACACTGGGTGGGAGACAGCGAGGAAGAGAGAGAGAGAGAGAGAGAAAAGAATATGAAAGACCCCAATTCTCTTGAACACCATAATAGTGAAATGAGCACATATAAATGTGTTAAGAGTATCTCTTTGCATCTTGTATAGACTGCATGTATTTAATCTGTAAAGCTTATTAAGGCCCTAGTCATTGCTATGCAAAGCAGCACCCAGTGCTTTTCTCTCGCTTTTCAGCTGAGTGCAGTGTTTGGCCAATAGGACTGGCCCCCCGCCTCTCATTCTGCATTCATAACATGCAACATTTCCACAATGTATCTCTCAAAGGCCCTGAATAGAAGGCCTTAATACTCATGTAAACAACTGCAAACCAATTACTTAATGAATCAGGCCCACACATAATGAGGGGGCTCACAAAGGGCTATAAATGCATTTTTTGCACCAAAGCCTCTGCTTTAAACTACAATCCCTCTGCTGTAGTCTAGGCTTAACTGGCAAATCATAATTATTGTTTAAGACAACAGAGAAGAAGCCATTTATATATTTTGAGTCCAGCTCCATCCTCGTTTTGATGTCACTCATCGGTTCGCTGACAAAATAAAGAAAATAATTAACAAGTAGGATGGGGGGGGATACAGGACGACAGAGAGGAAGAGGGGCAAAGAAATGGAGAAAGGGCAAGAGAGCAATAGAGTGAGACAGAGACACAGGGCAAGAGCATGCCGCCGTGTTATGCTTCTGCTTAAGTGTAGGGCTTCCAGACCACTTGTGGAAGCAATAAAGCGCAAGAAGTGACTGTGGTAAGTGGAATGCTTAAGCCTAAGCATCCAGGAGAAGCAGAGAAAAGACAGGGGAAATTGTTGTATGACCAAAGAGAAGATGATGGTCATGGTGATTAGCAGCTCTTGGCACTGGTTCCTTCCTAACCCTAGTGAAAACAGAGTGTCAGGAATGCATAACTACCCATTTGTTTAATTTTACTTCTGTACACAACTTGTGTCTCATCACTGCTCACTGCGTTCTCTGTTTCGGTCTAATTTTTGTTCTGCAAATTTTATTTAATCGCATACAGTGCGAGCTTCCCATGCACGCTAATGACAGGGAGAAAGGCACCATCTGAGAGGGTCTGGGCCCAAAATTGGCTCATGTTTATTAAAGAGGGTGGTCACCGGGGCTGGCAGTGGCAGACATCAGCAGCTATGAGGACCACAATAGAGCCAGCCCATTAGGTCCTTCCCTGGGCTAATAGGCAGACTGGGAGCGCCTACTTGCCAGGCCGGGGAGATACAGACTTCAGCGCTTGTGTCAGCATGGTGCCCGGTAATCACATGAAATCAGAGAACATTATTCCTCATAACGTTTACCCAGCCATTACTACAGCCCAAATGGGTTCGCAGTGAAGAGGTGCTCTGAGGACCCGACACGCAATTGCAGATTTGATGAAGTCGTGTTGATATTCAAATGTAACCGTGGTGGTGTTAGCTTGCACCAACTTATTTATCATTAGATGTTCTTTTCCAACCCACTTAGAGGTTTGATTTGAGCAGCTTAAATGCATTTCAAGGGTGAAAAATGAAAGGACATTTGTCCTTGTCAACACTTGAGTCCCCATCTTCCAAAACAGTTGTCCCTGATTCTCTTTGCAACATGATCTGTTTGCATTCTGACAACAAGCCTAAAGACACTGAGATTATGACTCCAATTTATTTTTGCAGTAGGTTTGCCTTTAATTTCTAAAACCTGGCTGAAGCCAGCAAACAGTGAATGAGAGGGGCTTTAGGGGCCTTTTGTCTTTGTAAGCGAGTTAATGGGTGGCACCCCCTTGATCTTATGGAAATGAACAGGGAATTATGAGAGCAGCCATGCAAATGTACATCAACCACTTTGGTGTCTGGTGGCCCATTTCCTGTGGCCCGTTGAATAATAACAATGTTCTTACCGAGGGTAAGGGTCTTGATGTGAGGAGCATTTGGCCCTCCCCAGGTCCTCTTCATGGCCACCATTTATTCCTTAAAAGAACAAACAGGGCCAGATAAAACCATCTGATTTGGACTCCACATCACAAGCTAATCCGCTATGCATATTTATACAGAAACTTATGGTAAGACCTTCATTTTCTTTCTTATGCACAAGAAATATGTCACAACCAAATTTCTCTCATCTTGCTGAGAAACCTGGGGCTAAAATCTTGGGACTATGACTGTTTTCAAGTGTATGTACTGTAAACAACAAATGCGCTGTGACTATAGTGTCCTTATGCGTTTTGGGAACATATGGCCAGTGTTGACCAATGGTTCGGCTCCAGCTGCTCATTACTTTCCTGGTAGAGTGGACCATGTCTCTCACCTGAGAGTGGATCCTCCTCCTCTTCCTCCTCTTCAAACCTCTGCAGCCCTTCCTGCATGGCTGATTGTTTAAGTAACTGATATGCTTTTGTCTCTGTTCAGACACACACACACACACACACACACACACACACACACACACACACACACACACAAATTCACTGTCAAATATTTGCTTAAAACCCAGGTTTCCAACTTTCAGAGGTTTCAGTGTTTAGTAAGACAACACGCTTCAGTAGCTGAGTCTTTTGGTCTCAACACTGCTCAGAGTGGGTGAAAACACTGGACTCAGTCATCTAAGCTGTTGATTCAACCCTACAGTAGGTAGCAACAGTTTCCATGAGACAGCAATCAACATCTCACATTATCTCGGCATCCCCTAGCAGGAAGGCAATGATTGATTTTCTCTTTTAAAAACACTCATAATTACTTCCTGGCACACTAATATAGGTATTATATTTGAGAGGAGCACAGAGACAAATCAACGGAGCAGAAGTACATAATAAGCAGGCTGTTGTCTCAGTGACATGGATAAAACAATCAGAGCAAATCAAGGAGCAGAGAAAAGTTGTGCTCTTGTATGGCCAAGTCCTAACACTTTTAACTGGGTTTCAGAATAAAAACAGCACTTTTAATCGTTTTCTGAACATGTGATGTTTGAAAGTGAAAGGAAATCTCTAGTGTTATTCCAACCCCAGCATGTTATACAGCCTCTGCTTTTAATGTACAAGTCTAAAAAAACCCCACAAAGTCTCCAGATGCGCTTGTCTTGCCAATTACTATCAGTTCCAAGGTCATGCTATTTGATTGTGACATTAATGTCACTCAGCACAGCAAAAGCCATTCCTTGAAAAATCTTTAGTCATGTTTTTTAGTTGGTTATGGCTCTTTTGATTAAGTGTAGGGATTGGAAACCAGACACATTTTGCTGGCTGTGCGCCTTGGGGATGCACACATATGAAACACCCAGTAGGAACTCTGACAGCCAAGGGTAATATAGGATTGCTTTACATTTCAGAGGTGCAGCTCAGGGATGGGCACACCAGCTGCTTCCAGGATGCCTTCACATCTAGTAGTTTTCAAGTCCAGCCTTGCCGGAGCATTGTTTGGAAGATAATGAGAACCGATGACAGATCTCTTGTGCTTCCCACCCTGGCGTCCTGACAATTAAAGCAGCCGCATTATGCCGGACCAGCAAATTATCAGTTTTGCCATAATGTCTCAGTCCAGGCTGAAAACACAGCTAGTGCTTTCTCAGAGATAATTAGAGAAAACTAGCACAGCTCTTCAGGTGGGACTTTGACCCTGGATTCACCTTGATCATCCTGCCTTAGCCACTGCGTAAAAAAAGACCATTATTCACTGCAGTGGGAAGAAAACAAACCACAACATAAGGATAGTGTGAATGCTGGGGCACCGGCAATGCCTTTTTACCTCTAATAGGAACACTTTCCACAGGGCTTTCGTCCTGGCTGTCCTCTTCACTACTTTGTAGTTCTGTAAGAAAAGGAAATGCATAGTGAGAAGCAATGGCAGGGAGGAAGGGAGTCTAGGGATAGAAATAGGAACGGGGGGGTCTTTCTTTAGCTCTGAAAAGGCTGTATGAAAACTAGGCTGTGAGGAATTCATAGAAAAAAGCTCTAGGGTGAAATTGATTTCTTTCATAAAAGGGAAGTTTTAGTTCTTTGCAAAGATGGTTCACCAAAAAAAAAAAAAAAAATACAACAGTAGTCTAACATTTGTTCCTATTAATGGCCTTGTTACATATTACTGTGCAGACTGTTCTCAGTGTGGAATGTTTTGGAGGTTTGTGGGAATCTGCTGGCAAATGTAATGAAACCAGTTTTTATGGTGTAGTCTAATTAAAGCTTTCCTATTGTACTCATACTAATATTCTTCAGGTACCTTGAATCTGTCGATTCTGTACTGGCCTGGCAGGCTTCGCAGCACCTTCAGCCAGGAGAGAAGGAGGACCACACGAAGAAGACAAGTCGCTCTCATAATCTGCTGAGGGGTACTCCTCACTGGGCCGGGACAGAAGTGTCCTCAGCAGCACTTCGGCCTGCGAGCAGTGCAAATTAAAACCACACTCTTAATTGTTCCCATTTTGTGAGCGAAGAGTCAAATTGAACTCTTGCCGATTAGGCAAGTCATTTACTGGCCATGGTTGCTCGCACAGAGGTGCAGCTGTAGTACGTGTTCAAACACCAAGAGAAAATAACTTCACATTCTCACACTTGTTTAACTAAAAAAAAAAAAAAAATTGCACTTTTGCTCCCGCTCTCCTTCTCAATCATCCTTTTTTCTCTCCCTCTCTTCTCATCCATGAGATTAGAGAAGCACCTAAAGAATGCAATCACCCTGGCGTTAATGTGCAACGCGTTCCAGATATCTCCCCTCTTGGCTGAGAGGATTGAGACAAACTGCTCTCTTCCTCCCTCTCCAGCTCATTTTTATCTCTGGGGAGATGAGGATACACAATTAAGAGGAGCTGTTCCGACAGATGAGGAGCAGGGAGATGCCACACACCGATTTCCTTTCTCTCATTTTTCCCTCCCCCATATCAAATCCTGCCATCATCATCTCTCTTTTGTGATCAAAGACTGCCTCTCAGCCTCAGATGGCCATTTGCAACTTTTAATGAGCACTAATATGGAGGGGATGATCAGGAGGATTTTGACAGAGACAAACTTTAAGTACATTGTATGTTGTTATCAGTAGGTCGCAGTAACGACTGACAATGTACATGCTTTCATTTTCTGAGAGGGGGAGAGACACAAACACATGCCAGTCTGAGCTCGGCACTTGGTATTTGATGCTGCTGCACAATAAAAACTGTCTTGATCCTTGTCCCCGATATCCATCTTTGTTCTTTTTTTAGATTTAGTCAAATATACCGTTGGTTGAGGGCTCTCGCAGACCCACTGCATTTTAAATATCAATGAATGCAACTGTTAGCACTTGAATATTCAAAGGACCTCTTTGAGTGTGTGCATGTGAGCTGCATGCTCCCATTTGTCAGAGTAGCCAGGGCTGTGTGGCAAGACGCGAATGGAAATTTCTCTTTGCTCTTGTGTGTGTGGAGAGTAAGCTGTTGTATGAGAGGACACAGAGGAGACAGTGACAGAAATAAAGAGAGAAGGAGAAATAGAGCAAGGGAGAGAGAAATACATGGAGTAGATGGAGTGAGAGAGATAAAGGGAGAGAATGATTTTCATTCAGGCTTTTCCTGCTACACTTGGACCGAATGATGTAGATGGCGGTACCTCTCTTTCTTTTGTCAGTTCATATTTTCAAGAGGCTCTACAGTCTCCCTCTTTGCCTCTCTCATTGTGTGGGGACACCGGAGCAAAATCGCCAAGCCACAAGAACCTCCACAAGATGAGGCCGCAAAAATGACTAATACAAAACCTGTACGTTTATATATACAGTAAATGATGATTCCTGTAGATAAAATGAGATATTTTCTGAAAAAAGTGGGATTCCAGACAAATCTGTTGACATTATCCCTGGTATCTAAGTGTGTATATTCATGGTCGTTTAAATTCACATGGTCAATGAGTGGAAAATGTAAAATAATCCTGTCCGTTGTGAAGAAGGTCCAAATGATTCTCTCATTCAATCAGACCCAGCTGATGACTACACTTCTGGCTAATACCAAATTAAAAGCAAGTGTTTCTCAGATGAATACACCACATGAGGTAAAAGAAGCAAAACAGAGGCTGTAATTTGCGATTAGCACATGGGTCAGGGTTTCTCTTCTGTCTAGTTCAATGTGTGGAGCAATCTGATGAGTAAGCAGCGAGGGCTTGGTTTCAAACAGCAGACACAAAGAGGGCACTCTGCACCAACTACAGCTCTTTCAAAAACCATGGAAAGAAACAAGCAAGGAAACAAAAACACCACCCCTTTTGGAAAGAAAAAAGGAACAATCTCTCATGTAGTCATCTGTGTGTGTGGAAACATTTGCTTGCTTTTGCAACTAGGTGTGTGTGACTTCCTGTTTGTGTGTGTAGTGGCAGTGCATGTGCCTCCGACACTACCTGGTGGCTGCAGGTGGCATGGCGCTCTAGCAGCAGTGGTGTGAAGAGCTGGACCAAGCGCTCAATGCTGAGGACACGGCGCTCCTTGAGCAAAAGGGCGTGCTTTAACCAACGGTCCCACAGTCGAGCGGCATCAGGAAGGAGGCTGGTGCTGTGGTTAGGGGTGGGGGGGAAGAGAAAGAAGAGGCTCTCTCATTGAATACACAACAAGATATCCAAAATAAGTCATAATTATACCTCCTTAGAGTGGTTTTTTGATTATCAAAAAAAAAAAAAAAAGAGGAAGCTGTTGAAGTTGAATTATTTTCCATTATGGGATGAAGTTAAAATCTAATACATTTTAACATATGTTGTCCATTCTTAAAAGGTTGCTTTCTATGTCATACTAAAGGCACTTTAGAAGATAGAGATAACTGACTAATTACAGTTAACACCAAATAGACACTGACAGCAATATAGCTCCTGGTTTAAAACTGGATAAAAGGTCAAAGAGCCAATCGACATCTCCACAGAAAAGACAGGGACAGCGCTAGATGTGGTTCTTTAGATTGAGTATATGGCAGGAAAGGTCTCGGTGAAATCAATAGAGTAGTGAAGCAGAGCATGGATTTGGCTCAGAGTATAACTACTCATTATCCAAAGGACTGGAAGTCACAGATAGGGCATTTTAATTTACTCATGACATTCATCCGTGCAGCGTTACCACACGAGATGAGACCAAAGATGACCTTTACATTTGTGGACGAGGGAGACTGTATCCAATTGTAGTATTCGATGTCTCAGTGGCTATTGTAAGTTCGTGACCCCTCCCCTAGTGTCTGGTCAAAAAAAAAAAAGAAAAGGCAGCTCTTTACATTTTGTCTGAAAAGTGGATTTCACTTTTACTTTCTCTGTAAAAAGAAGAGAAATGTTTGTTGAACTCTGTAGCTTTCATATTTAATCCAATGTAGCACCATTTATTACGGGGGTTGTAAATGCCATTGCCCATAAAAAACACACATTACATTATACTGTAGTGTTACACTATGTCACAAACAATGTTGTATTAAGTAACACATTTTTATTTTTTCAGATGCAGTTTGTTTGATACTATGTAAAGGAGTTACATTTTTAAAAATTACATAACTAGTACAATTTTATACAAATGATCAAACCTGATAACTGAATTGTGATTCTTTCACAAATCCCACAAAACAAGAGTCATCAAGCTGAAAAATGCACACCCAAACAAAACTACAGAAAAGAAAAATATTGATGTTGGATTCACAGAGAAAACAGGAGCCCCACCTTATTTCATTAGGCTCGGTGCTGGACTGATGTGCACTCACTAGATCCTGTGGTAGAAGGCAACCCTGTTCTGTACTCCATGACAACCTCTGAAGCCCATGAAAGACGACAGCTCCACATGCTTCAAGATCCTCGTCATTCAAGCCTGCTCCACTGTTGCAAAGGCTGTACAATACATAGAGAGCAGTCAGCTATTGCCATGGAGCCCCGGGCTTAGTCAGCAGGTCAGTCCTACATCAAGTACATCCAACAGCTGTTAACACTTCACACGCACACACACACACACACACACAGAGGCTATACAAGCATAATCGTACCCATAAACACAAATAAATGTGCTCTGATAACTCAGCAAGTATTATACTGAGGGCAAAAGACACAGGACATACACTCCTTACTGAAGATGTTGCCGAGATCATCATTTACAACACTTGAGTGTGTGTATGGTTGGAGATATGTCTATACTGGGTTTAAACAAACTGAGAAAGCTTTCATTTGGCAGACATTTATCCATACTTTACAACAAGAACTCCAATTATGGTAAATTTGTCATGTTATGAAATATAAAAGGCTTAGAAAAAAATAAGCCCAGTCTAATGAAAGACATTCTCCATCCTTCATCTCCCTGACTCCCAATAACAATTCAACAGGGCGGTTACTATAACAATCCCATGTGTTTGAAAACCCCTCACATATAATATGCATGTCGGTGATGACACTTCATCTAAAGCGAGAGCCCTTGGCAGAAGGATAATATGTTTTCATCATCTGCATTAAAAAAACTGCCCATTAAATAAATACACAGCATTTCGTTTCAACGGTGAGAGAAAAGATTGTATAGTTTGAAGACAGACAGCAAGTGCCCACCTGATAATTCTGTTGAGTTGTCTTCCATCAGCCGAAGAATCCGAATACACGCTGACCCATTCACTGTGGAGTCGTCCTTCGATGCTGTCTAGCAGATGAAAGAGTCCTTCCTGGGAGAGACTAAAAAAACACTATGCATTAATGTGGTGAAAGGAAATAAAAATGGAGGTCATGTGACTTGGCAGGACCAGTATGTGTTAAATAAGTAAATCAATAAATAAGAAAGAGGACCCAAAATTCTGTAATACATTTTTCTCTGCGTCATTTTCTTGAGGTACTCAAGGACTGCTAGAGGAAACTGCCATAATACTGTTGATGATGTCACAGGTACTGACTGACAGGATGTATAAGAGAGCTTGTGAAATCTGGTATTCAAAAGTAAAGATTGTAGAACTGGCAACCTTCTGTTGGAGTAAAACTTTAAATCAGCTGTGTACAGTTAAATGGCAAAATAAACCACTACAAATGTGCAATATTACTATAAAAAATAAACAAATAAAATTATGGACAACTGTAACAACACAGCCATTTCACACTTGAAGTGTAAGCAAAAGGATTCCAAAACATATGGGCCTCTGGATCATTTCTTTTGGTGAGAGATTTACACTTTAATCCCATTCTATGTGAGGCAGCAAAATGAAAAATGGATGCCTAATGCATGTGGATATTAGGAATCCATCTCTTTCTGGAGCATTAAGCTCTGGGTGGCCCTCATTCAGTTCTCAAAGAAACCCCAAGCCAAGAGATCCTGAGTCCCCCCCACATAAAAGGCGCAAAAAAGAATTTATGACAATCTGTAATGGGCTCCTGGGTTAGGGGTCAGCAAACAACTGCTCCCTCTTTTTTGCAGGTTGTTTCCTGGTAACATCTTGATTAAACTGGCGACTTGAATGATATCTATGACATTGTGTAGTGTGCAATCCCTCTGTGCTAAGTCCTCTTCAGTGTGGCTGAAGTAGCATAGGCAAAAGCTCTGTCTTTTTTTCTCTCCCTTATCATCAGTGTGGGCCTTGAAATAGTCATCTTTCTCCTTCCACTTTATTTGTCAATGCTCTTCAAAAAGAGACCTTTAGAGAGGGAGAAAGTGAATTAGTTGTATTTTTCCACAAACCTCTCTTTCTCTCATTGTATTGTTGCCAGCTTTCATGTCAAGGTCTCCAACCTCACTTTAGATGCGGCTGTTGTTCGGATGTCGACATCATCAGGAGCGCATTGTTAGCTAGGAGGAAGAGGTCAGCCTCTCTGCAGCGATACTGCACTACAGTGTACGGTACTGACTCTAGGGTGATTTACCACATGGAATGGTCTCACCATTGAGTGATTGGTGTCAGGTGGAATCTCACCGTGCTGGCACAGGCTATAAGTATTACACACAAAGGAATGGAAAAAAAAAAAATACCACAAGTATATACTGTATACACAAGTACAAAGAGTGCAGGTACTGCCTCACTAAAGTTGGGATATGTCCCACCAAACTGGTTTACAAGTACTGTTTGACAATATGTAACAACTTTACTGAGAATTTAAAACCGTGGAAAGAAATAATCAAACCTGTCAAATCATCTGAAATACATTCTCAGCATACACGAGCATTTTTGCAACTTTTCTTTACTGAATAATTAAATTATAATAAAAAAACAAAAGACTGTATTAAAAAAAGAAGTGAATCTAAGAACTTTTTTGTTAGGAAGAAAGAAAGAAAAAGAAAAAAGCAAAGCATGATATTCTAATGACATTGCAATGACACCGTTAATATTGTTGTAATGCCTGTATATTTGACATTCTATCTCATATTAATTCATCTTATATTAATTGTATGACACCTGTTATCAATCGAACAGAACCATCATGCAGTTCAGGGACGACATATCTGAGAGCAGGACACAGTGAGGCTATTATGATGAGCCTCGAAGAAGAAACCTAGGGGACATTTCAGTCGTACACTCTCGCTCACCCCAGCCATGCTGGAGGAGAAATATAATGGGATAATCTAATGAATTGCCCAGGCTTGTTTTTCCTGACTGTGAGCTGAATGGAGGGAGCAAAATAAACTCTAACCTTGGGGGGGGGGGGGGGGGGGGAGAGAGAGAAAAACAGGCCTCTGTCAAGGTTCTGGTGAAGGAGAGGCAGAGTCCACAGAGGGCTGATAAGGAAAAGAGGAGAAAAACAGCCT